AGATGCATTTGGCCGCTAGGTGGAAACCCTTTCCCACCTAAATGACTACAAACTCCAAATGTAATGAAGCCCCCTGTGCTAGTGGCTCTAATCTGAATGGAGTTCACACTTTTCACCTGGTGCATCTATTTTCACCTGGCAGGTACAAGATGCACAGAATCTGGCACACAGTCCTGTACCTTGTATAATTAAAATCGTAAGCCACCGAAAAAGTGTGTTAATTACTATGGGACAGTATATGAGCAGCACACTCTGCTCTGCTCCTGGGGTGCTTGATGAATGTTACCTCCAAATTTTCTGGTTCATTTAGCACCACCCACGTCCCTCTTCAGTTACACCTTTCTTTCCCTGTCCTGCTTTCCCATGTGGCCTCTTTTTAGAGCTATGCACGTTATTTCGGCTGTGCAGGGGTCGATCGGAGAACTAGAACCAGGTGCTCTTCCATGAACTCAAAGTCACGGGTGTTCAAATCAGACTTGGCTTCTAGCCTAGTCAGTGTCTGCCCATGGAACGGGCACAACGGTGCCATCTCATTCTTGGTCTCGGGTGACAAAATGTCTTGAGAATCAGCCCTGATCAGATTGCATCCAAGGAGGGCAATGTCCAGTCCTTTCTCTTTTCCTGTACCAAAATGGGATCAAGCAAAGTAGGCCCTGCGCAATGTTTATTTATTTTTGTTTTGAGGTTGGTTGTTGGTTGGCTTGCTTTTTTACAATGGAAAAAGCAAAATCCATCTGCCAGAGCTGGGTGCAAAAGAATGCACTTAAAACAGGTTGGCTCTGAGCGCATTCTAAGTCTACAAGTGTCTTCCCTTCAACAGCACAGCCCACAACCCTTTCACACAATAAGCTACTACTAATTGCACCAAACTTTCCCTTCCTTTCTCCTGTCGGTGCCCTTGTTAAGCCACTGGCACGCAGGTTTTCCAATGCTGCTTCCCGGAAATCATCCAGACGTCTGTCAAGAGATGGGCCAGCAACGGGTGCTTTTGGGGTGGGGGTGAGTGGTCAGAAACAGAAAGTCATTTGAGGACACAGTCATGGAAGCCATGCGCCTGCCCTTCATCCCCTTCACAATCTCAACTCTCAGGCATGATACGTAGCTTGGAAAAGCCACTCTTCCGGGTGGTAGATACCATTGGTACATATAGGCGGAGCCTAAATGAATCATTGGAGTCGAAGAGCCCCCACCTTGCAATGGATTCATGGCAGTAGACTGGTTTCCATTATCCTCCCTCCAGGTCACACCATCCTGTCTTCAGACATTTCTGCAGTTGGCCTCATCATATGTTTTTGCCCAGGCTAGCTGCAGGGGTAATGAAGGAGCAGCTGACTCTGGATGAGCTTTCAACTCCTCACCAAGGTGTGAGAATACTTCTCTTCCTTGATTATGGAACTGATCACAAATGCCAATTTTATTTTCCATTTCAAGTGTGCTTTGCGTATCTTCTTGTAATCCATCCACAACTCAGGGGCCTCCATCTGGGCCAGACAACCCTGTTATCAAGGCTATTGGGAGTCGAAACCCAAAACACGTGCCACAGTGTTCAGGAAGGCCAGTGTGCAAGGAGAAATGGGATCTCAAGATGTAAAAAAAGATATGTTTTATTCATTAAAAATGGCCAATATGCTTCAGCCAGTAGGCTGCTCTGAGGCCTTCCTCAGCAATATTAAATGCATCAGAGGCTAAAAAAAAATTCAGATCATCTGCTTCTGAGTTTCCTGAATTGGCCAGTGGCCACTATTTAGTGAAGGCTGGAAACAGTTTGAGATCATTGTAGGCACTTATATTTTATTGTCCCTCAGCAGGCCACAAAAACAAATATTTGCCATTAGAAATGCATGGGCTGTTTTATTCATCAGAACACTTAAAATATATATACTCACCAAATGCTTGGACTTCTTTGTTTGCTTGAATTGGATTTACTTGAAGGTTTCCAATTTCCTTCTGTTCTACTAAACCCTACGTCACATTTACACCCAAAAGCAAAGTTCATAAGCTTAGATAGCCGTGCAGCTATGCAGCGCATGATGCAATAGTTTAATTGAAGTGAGGCGGGTCTGAATCTGACCTCTTCTAGTCAGGCAAAAATCCTGCATTCACTCTTTTGAGTTCCACAGAAGGCTGGGTGGAAATTCAATGAACCAAAGAAGACAAACCTATGTAAGAGAAGGATTCCCTCTCACACAACAAAACACAGTTTTACTCTTTGAAAATAGAAATACCGGAAGCCGAAATGCATTTTCCGTTTAGCTCAGAGATGGTGGACGAGTTCCCTTCTCATTAGTTTTGGGTCACAACTCCCATCATCTCCCAACAGAAGCTATGCTGCCTCAGGGTAATGCAAATTTTAATGCAAGAACATCTGGAGGGTCAGACATTTCTCCGCTTTGATTTACCACTTGTTCTACTGGGAACTTGCAGAATAGCATGCTTCCCCCCTCCCCCCCCAAAAAAAGACTTCTCCAAAGTGAGTCTGTATGAATTATTACTACTGCATACGTGGCATTTGCTGAGGTCCATGCATCATTAAGTAGCAACAATGGCCCAGATGAAGCAGCATCGAGGACAACATGCCCTAGATCAAATGTGCCATCAAGCTTATTAAGACTTTATAGCTGTCCTCTTTGTTATGCCCTTTCTGAAAGGGCTTCACTAACCGAGTCCTCTTGTCCCAGCAACCTTAAAAGCAAACGGACACCGAGCTGTAGAAGAAAATTACGGGAAAAACTGTTTTCTCCACATCCACAGGGGTAACATTCCAGACCAAACAGAAGCAACTTGATCTTCTTTTCTCTTAAAAACACTCCCACTCTTGGATCTGTTTGAGAGATAGCTCTGCAATGATCAGCCAGATACTGTTTTTGTAACACAGCAGCAGCAGGAGTGATGATGGATATGTCCAAGTAACCGTGCTAAGCAAGAGGCCTCTGTGTCACTCACTGAGCTGGCAAGGTCACTGCTCAAGGCCAGAGGCCACCGCCTTGGTCATTTCTCTGCATTCTTCCCTACATGCCTTTGCTGTTCTTTAATGCATCAGGAGAAAAGAAAGGCAAGAGAAGAAAAGCTAAGCTTGTTAGGCAGAGAAGCCCATACAAACATATAAACACGACCTTTCGGGATGAAGAAAAATGATCCACAAGACCCAAGAACCGAGACGGAAGCTGTCATATAGAAGCTGCTCAAGAGTGTCATGTTTCACTCTCCAGATGGAGCTGCACAGCAGAATGCTCTGGATTAGAAAGAGCTTACGACTAAGTCAACCTGACAGCAGATAAAAGCTTGTCCGGTTGTTATAACTACTAAAACCGCAACGTGATTTGCTTTTGGTTTGTATTTCTGAAGCCTAGATAACAAGTTGCATTCGAAAGAGACAAAGGTTTGGATAATCCGTTGGGGTCAGGTAGCGCGTTGTGAACATAGGCAACCTTGGATGAGAACCCAAGCCATGATGGAAGCGAGGGGGGAGTTGAACAGGATATCGGTAGACACCCTTTGCAAAAGGTAGAACACAGCAGCTGCTACAGTCAAGTGTACTTACTCTGTGGAAGACTCACGAAGCTTGCAACATTTATTTGCTGAGTTAATATATTGCTTAGTTTCTAAGTGTTTTCAACTCCCATAGGTTTTCATTGTGTTGATTTTAATGGAACTTTACTGGCATTAGCTACCTTAAGCGCCATTTTTTTGGCCAAAGGGAGGACAGAAATTAAATAAATGCAATAGCATTATCTACTAATGGGGACGTGGTGGTGCTGCGGGCTAAACCGCAGAAGCCTGTGCTGCAGGGTCAGAAGACCAAGCAGTCGTAAGATCGAATCCACGTGACGGAGTGAGCACCCGTCGCTTGTCCCAGCTCCTGCCACCCTAGCGGTTCGAAAGCATGCAAATGCAAGTAGATAAATAGGGACCACCTCGGTGGGAAGGTAACAGCGTTCCATGTCTAAGTCACACTGGCCATGTGACCACGGAAGATTGTCTTCAGACAAAAACGCTGGCTCTATGGCTT